TTATTATTGTTGTCAAATATATTCTTTAAAGAAGATAAATGGTGATTTTATCATGGCTAGAATTTTAAACTAATATTGAATTGAAAATTAAATGTTCCAATATACTTTTAAAGCAGCGTGCACTGTTTTACGCATCCAAAAAACCAACTTTTATATAATATAGAGTCCTTCACTCAAAGATTGTGACAATGTTGATCATCATAGTGATAGACATAATATACTAAAATATCAGAGAAAATAAATATTTTTTATAATCAATAAAAAGATTCTAAAAGAAATGTATGAAGCTGCTATTATTTTAGTATGCGCATTTAAAAGTCGATACTAAGGCAAATACTTTCAGCAACGTGAATGGATGAAAATCAATTAAAAGGAAAACCTATTACTGTCATTTTCCGTCGTCGAAGATTCAGGACATCACCATTTTACAACAGTCGTAATTATTGTGGTTGCGATCGAGTGAATTAGTGTCGGTGAAACATGAACCTTAACTTTAATTCTTCACTAAGAAGACCATTGCTTCATTGGGTTGGAAGATTTCACGGTGTTATCTTCCCAGCGTAATATAACTATTTTTTCGCCTTACAAGGAAGCAATCTGTTGGGCTAAAAGAGGCTAAGCCCAATAAAGCAACCCTATCACTATCCTACTCACCATGGGAACATGTTTCACATGCAAATTTGTTGATTTAATCCTCTCATAACACCAAACTTTATTCCATTTTTTGTACCACTTATATATATATATAACCAAGTAATTCATGCGTATATAGTTTTTTTTCCCTGTCATTGCCAATGGCAATTAAACGAGGCCATGTTGGTATATGGAGATCGCTTCAATGAGAAGAAGGACGAATCACATAGTTTATGTCTGAGCGAGCAATTCAGTTGTTTTTAGACAAAAGATATTTCGAAGACTTTTGAGACACATTTCGGAAAGCATTATAACTAAGTGAGAACAATTCATGTTAAAGATTTGGGGATAAATTTGAAGAAATTAAGGGTACAAACAAGACGGGCGCTTGTGGCTCCTTTCTCGTAACAATAAATATGGCAGGTTATTAACTAACTCGGCTGATGGAACCGTGCCCCCGGCCCAGATGGTTTCAACCTTTATTTTTTTCAAAAAGTTTTGGTATGTGTTTAGAGGAGGTATTTTTGAGTTATTTTCGAATTTTACAGGGGTAATCTGGATGATAAAGCTATAAATCATACTTTCATTTCCCTTATTCCAGAAAATTGCTCCCGAGAATATAGATGACTACAAATCAATATCGCTAGTTAGCATCCTTAATAACATTCTGGCGCGGGTTTTCTTAGGAGACTAGCAAGCTGTGTTAGTAAGTGGTCAGTGAGCATTAGTTTGCCTTTGTGTTAGGGAAACAAATCACATATTATTCTTTAATAGCAAATGCAGTCATCGACAAACTTAAATGAAACAAGCAATAAGTTATAATTTTAAAGCAGACTTTAGTAAGGTGTACAATTCGGTCGATTGTCCTATTGTGTGTGTTAAAAATGATTGTTAGAAATGGAGAAGTTGGATGAGATTTTGCATATTGACTCCCATTATTTTGATGTTAGTTGACGGTTCACCATCGGAGAGTTTCTCGATAAAACGTGACTTAGGCAAGGATGTCCCATTTCGCTGACATTATTCAATTTAATCAAGGAAGCGCTAAGTGGTTTGTTATGCAAAACAAATAATTTGGGTATGTTAAAGATGGAATCTTCCTTGGACGAATGGTGAGATGCTGGTTCATATTGGCGCCAAGGACTCCATGTGCATGGCGTGTGGGGGCTGGCCAAATGGTCATGATGCTTGTCTCATACCTCTTCGAGATTTAGGCCTCCTTTTGATGAGAACTCTTCACCAACGTGCACCTAGATGTTATGGCTTCTTCATGGACAACAACATTCATGAAAGTTCACAATGGTTGAAAGGTAACCCTTAATGATTGAGCTAGTTCTAAGGTGAATGAGCTGGAGGTGAGCTGGCCATAGGTGAGTTGTATTATGATGAGTGTTTTGGCAACTCCTTGTGAAAAATATCTCCGGGAAAGGCACCTCTTCGCGAAAAGGTACGATTTATGAAAAATTGACTTGACACATATTTGAAGTATTCTGAATAGTGATGTTGATGGTGCAACTCCCCAGCTTAAATGAAGTCATCTTCTAGCTTAAATCTTCAGCTCAATCCAACTATGAGCTCTCTTGTCACTGGACAACTTTTCACCAATTGTTCCTTATGCTCTCCTGAGTGTTCCTATATGAGTCTCCTTGCTTTAGCCTTCATCATTTAGCTCAAATCAGCTCCCTTAGGTGTGGTCGCCTATGTACCTTCAAAAGAAATTATATATAAGCTAAGTATTAAATAATAAATTTATGATATACATATGTGGTTCATAAGCTATATCAAATGTCAATATTCAACATGTAATATAACTTATGATTTAAAGATTCCTTTTCATGAAATGACTTGAAAACATTAAGGCATTTGTGTGAAATAACTTCCCTGAATTACTTTGCTCTTGCACGATTGATAGGACTGATGGCAGAACTTCAGGATCTGATGTTGGAGTTGTATGATCTTATCATCCCCCTTATTTTAATGCAATTTGTCCTCAATCGTCGTTGTCCTAATATGTAAAAAGATCAGATACATGAAAGTAGCACTTACTTGATATTCGTCAGGTAAGTCTTGTATGGATTATCGTTTACCTTCTTAATTATTTCAAAAGGTCCATCTCCACTCTGCATCAGTTTTGATTTTTTGTGTGCAGGGAATCGTTCCTTCCTCAAATGTACCTATACCCAATCACCTACCTCTAGACTTAAGCATTTGCATACTTTATTAGCCTGTGTTCATATTGTCTTGTCCGTTTCTCTATAGTATATTTGACTTGTTCATGAAGCTTTTTGATGAATTCTGCCTTGTTCTTCCCATCTTTGTTGATTGTATGTTCCTACGGCAAGGGAAGAAGATCTAAAGGAGTTAAAGGATTAAATCCATATACTACCTCAAATGGTGACATTTTTGTTGCATAATGAACGGATAGATTGTAAGCAAACTCCAATGTAGCAAGCATTCCTCCAAGGCCTTGATATTTTTCTTGATAATGGATCTCAACAACGTTGATAGTACCCTATTCACCACCTATGTTTGTCCGTCAGTTTATGGATGTCATGTTATGGAGAATAGTAACTTAGTTCCTATTTTGTTCTATAACGTCCCCAGAAATGACTAAGGAAATTTACATCCCTGTCGGATACTATGGTCCTTGGAACACCATGTAGCCTTATCACCTCTTTGAAGAACAAATTGGCCACATGAGTTGCATCATCAGTCTTGTGCCATGGAATAAAATGTGCCATTTTAGAGAATCGATCAACTACCACAAATATGGAGTCTCGTCTATTCTTTGTCCTTGGTAATCCCATCACAAAATCCATTGATGTATCCATCCAAGTCTCCTTTGGAATTGGAAGAGGCATGTATAGACCATGGGGTATAACTTTTGGTTTTGCTGTTGCAAATGAGGCGTCTTTCATATACTCTTTCAAAGTCTCTTTCATTTTTGGCCAATAGAGATGTTCCTTCAATGTGCCAACATTTTACTTACTCCGAAATGCCCCATAAGTCCTCCGTCATGTGCTTCTCAAACAAGTACTTCTCAAAACGACCCTTTTGGAATGCATAGATGCCCCTTCTTGAATAGGTACCCATAAGACTTATACCTTTTCTCCAAAGACATGATCAGTAGCATAATAGTCTTTGATAAATGAAAATCCAAGTATCTTTGAATCAGGAGTATTAAGAAGTATGTACCTTCTGGAGAGTGCATATACCACAACATTTTCCTTACATTTCTTATAGCGAATCACGTATGGAAAGGACTCCAAAAATTCTACCTATTTGGCATGGCATTTGTTCAACTTGTGCTGGCCTTTGATGTGTTTCAAAGCTTCATGGTCTGTATGAATAGCAAACTCCTTTGGCAAAAGATAGTGCTACTAAACTTCAAGTGCCCTAATGAGAGAATACATCTTTTTATCATAAGTTGGGTAGTTTAGTGAAGCACCATTAACTTTTCGTTGAAATATGCAATTGGTCGTCCCTCTGAGTTAGAACAACACCAATTATAGTGTCGGAGGCATCACACTCCACTTCAAAAGTGTTATCAAAGTTTGGCAATGCTAGTAAGGGTGCATTTGTCAAACATTCATCCATCTTATTGAAAGCATTATTGTTCCTTGCCCCAAGTAAAGATGTAATTCTTTTTAATGATCACTATTAAGGGGGTAGAAATAGAACTAAAATTGGGCACAAACCTCCTATAAAAGCTTGGAAGGCCATGAAAACTTCGGACTTGATTGATTGAAGTAGGTATTGGCCACTCCTGGATGGCATTAATTTCCTCAGGATCAACCTGCAATCCCTGTGAACTCACAATAAATCCTAAGAAGGAAATACTATTAGTACAGAAAACACATTTCTTAAGATTAACATATAACTTTTTCTTTTGTAAAGTTTCAAACACAAACCTTAAGTGTTGTACATGTGACTCCAAGTTTTTGTTGTATATTAAAATATCATCAAAACAAACGACATAAAACTTACCAATGAAAGGCCGAGAACATGATTATCAATCTCATGAAGGTGTTGGGTGCTTTGGTTAAGCCAAAAGGTATCACCAACCATTCATACAAACCTTGATTTGTTTTGAATATGGTTTTCCATTTATCACCTTCCTTCATCCAGATTTGGTGACATCCACTTTGAGACAATCTTGGAGAAGATGATGGCACCACTCAACTCATCCAACATGTCATCTAAACTTAGTATGAGATGTCGGTATTTAATGGTGATTTGGTTGATAGCACAACAATCCACAAACATCCTCCATGAACCATCTTTCTTTGGGACAAGTAGAACATGAGCGACACATGGGCTCAAGCTTTCACGAATGTATCCCTTTTCCATTAACTCTCCAATTTGCTTTAAAGTTCTTTGGTTTCTTCAGGATTACTCCTATATGCTGGTCGGTTTGGAATGGTAGCACCAGGGATGATCGATTTGGTGCTCAATTCCTCTGACAGATGGTAAACCACTTGGAATATCCTTAGGAAATAATTCTTCAAATCCTTCAACAAATTAAGAATAGGAGAATGAAAACCTTCTGGAGGGTTAGTTAAAAGAAAACTCTCCTTGTACATAAGTACAATTAAAGCTTTGTTTGTTGAAAGATGCTTCATGATGTCATTTTCTCTAACATATATGTTCATCTTTTTAGGTTCATCCTCTTTAGAATATTTGGAAGCCTCAATGCTTCTTTTCAAAGAATTCTGGTCCTCGGTCACTTGGCTTGGTGAAAGTGGATTCAAAATGACTTTCCTTTCATTGTGGAAGAAAGAGTATCGGTTGGTGTAGCCATCGTGAATGGCCTTTTTATCGAATTTCCATGGCCTCTCTAATAGTTGATGGCATGCATCCATTGGTACAACATCACACAGGACTTTGTCTTGATACTTTCTGATTAAAATGAAACCGAGACTTGCTTGGGGACTTTTACTTCTCCTCCATCATTCAACCATTGTAGCTTGTACAGCTTGGGTGTTTGACTGTCTTTACTCCAAGTTTGTCTATCATGGTTGTGCTTGCAACGTTGGTATAACTTCCTCCGTCGATAATCATGACACAAACATTGTTGTTTACATGACAACAACTGTGGAAGATGTTTTCTCTTTGATGGTCCTCCCTGGCTTGAAGATTTAAAGTTATTTTCATAACAAGAACTTGTCTTAAAGTGTTGGAAGATATGAAAAATCTTGAAACATTGTTAGTAATAATAATAAAAAACCTTACCAGCACACTCACAAAGCCTCACAATTTATGTAACATCCCAAACTATGGGTTAGTGACTAAATTGTAAAATTTCAGAATTTGGTGATTAAAGTAGAATAGTTAAATTTTCAATGATTTATGTGGAGATATTTCCTAAAAATTATTAGCAATTATTAAATGAAGTGAAGGGAAAAACGATCATTTGACTTATAAATTAATTAAAAATGTGATTGATAAGGATATAAGGATAAGATGAAAGAGATATTTTCTCCAAAACGTCTCTTCATCTTCTTTCTTCTTCTTCACGTGAAACCCAAAAGCAAGGTGAGTTCTTTGTTAGTTAATTATTTGTTGATTTTATGGTTGAGTTTTGATCATTAGATAATAAATAAGCTTAAGGAAAGTTTAAGTTGTCTTAAAATTAAAAGATAAATAAGTTATGAAAGATTAAAGAAAATGGGGTTTTAAGTGAAATTTTGAATAAAAAGGTTTAAATAAATTTGGAGGTTGATTTTAACTTGTCATCTATGAGAATAAGAAGTTAGAAGTGTTAGAATTAAGTTTAGATAACATGGAAATTTGGTATGATTCTTAGCTTTAAGAATTTGGACAAAATATGGAAGATAATAGGGTGTTGGAATGATAGGAATTGGTTAAAGTTGTTATAGATGGATTTAGTAGCATGATAAGGATTTTATACATGAAAATTTGGGTGAAATATTGATGAATTTCATACTATTTTGGACAGGTGCATCGATACACTATGAGTATGTACGATGCACTAAGACAATTTGAAGGTGCATCGATGCATTAAGGGGTGCATCGATGCATAGATATTTCGAAGTTATTTTGGGTACCGATGCACCAATAGTGCATCGGTGCACTCCTAAAGGAAAGCTGAAATTTGGTTCATTAAATATCCTAAGTTATTAATACCAAGTTATAAGGTTTAGGCTTCTAAAAATCGTCTTGAAATTTATGTTATGTAGATATCGAGCCTAAATGAGTTACAGAACAATCGAAGAGTTAGGATTAAATCAAAGCAAGGCTAAGGTGAGTGCAATTTAATTGTACTAAAGTTATTGATCAAACATTGTCTTGCGATTAGCCAGTAACAAAGTTATTATGGTAAGAAGTAATTTCTAAAATGTTATGTGATCTTTATGTGTGCATATTATATGCAATATGTGATATTGAACTACATGAAGATATATGAAAAAGATGATAGCAACTATGTGATATGCATGATATGTTATCTTATATGTTATGTGATGTATATATGACATGTGTATGACAAAGGAGAAATGATATAAGCCATATGAAACAATCTACGTGATTCCATGTAAAATGATACGATATATGTGACATGAATATGCATGAAAAATTATATGAGCTATGTGATAAAGGTATGGAAATGATATGTCTATGAGAAGACATAAGAACAAGATATAAGCCATGTGACATGTGAAAGTGAATCATATGAAAATATTCTACGTGTAAGTGAACTATGTGCCAATATGAATATGTAATAAATATGAAAGATAATGCCCATGTTATGTGTCATGAGATCTAGAGGTATAGTTGGCATGCCAAGAGTCGAGGGTCTATGCGGTCCTTCGGGACAAATTCTACGTGGTCATTCGGGACGTATATGTATTCTTTGGAGCATGTATGAGATCTTTTGAGACACCTACTTGGTCCTTGGTATATGTATATGATTCTTAAGGAATTTATATGTGGTCCTTATGGATAATCTTATATGGCACTACGGTGCATTTCTACGAGGCACTTCGGTGCAAATTTTACGTGGCACTAAAGTGCAAATTTATACGAGCTGTGGTGACAGCATAGTGCACAACCTCACAGTACTCACATACCTTAAGTTCTCAGTAATGTACATGGGCCTATAAAAGACATCAAAAGTAATTACAAGATTCATATGTGATATTGTGTGTATTCCTAAGTGAAATGTATTTCTTATATGAGATTGGTAATTGTTTATGCAATGATGTGATTTAGAGTTTACATTATATGCTGATATGGTATATAAAGAAATTAGTGATAATAGAATGAGAAATGATAAGCATGTTAATGATGTTATGTTACATGATATGTGCATGTATGTATATATTACAGAAAAGAATATATGTTGATAAGGTAATATCAAATGTTCATGCATTGTAGAATTTACAATTAGCAAATAATTATGTTCTATATGCCTCACTAAGTCAACGACTTAGCTTGTGATTGTTTCACGCGTAAGTTCCGAAAAGAGGAAGATTGGTAAAAATTATGCAAGACATGTCAGTTTCTCCTTTCCAAAGATCAGATCAGAAAAGAAATGTATAGTATGTATTTTGTAATAAGGATATTGGTTGGCATGTAAATAAGGGATTTAAATCCGATATGTTCTAATCGGTTTGAAAAGTCATATGATTGAGATTTGTAATGTTTTAAATACATATATGTAATTGATAAATTTATATGGATGAAAGCTTAGATTTTTACGAGTTTATACGTATTTTTACGAAAGTTACTGTAGCGGTGCATTGATACACAATTTATATTCGAAATTTTTCACTGTTCACAGTACTGTTCACGGTACTGTTCATACCGTATTTTACCGTTCATAAATACGTTTTTGCCTCAAAATTTTATAACAAACACAATTGAACAATATATGATCGTATTTTCTTAATATAAGTTCAAATATTCTGTTATTTTGCAAGAATAAAGGTTTTTAAATGTCAATGTGACACTCGGACTCGTATCTGGATCGGATACGGGTTGGGGTGTTACATTTTCACTCCAAAGAAAGTTGATAGATCACTCTACTCAACTCTTGTGTTTGCGCTCGGGAATATATTTTGGCTTTTATCAATTCCATGCTAATCTCACCCACTCAATTTTTCCTTTTACCACTCAATTCTCTTGTGAAGTCCTTTGAAGACTAACTCAAGATTATGGCCAAGCAAATCTTCAACTTGTGTGTCACTACAATAACTTGATTAGAGAGAAATGCAATAGAAGACAATGAAGACAAGGTAAATAAAAGAAAGAATAAAAGATTAAAAATGAAGAAAATGTTTGAATAAGAAAGAAAGAAAAGAAAATGGTGACTTACAAACCAAGAACAACACTTACAACCTTTCCTTCTGAGACACAATAAGGTTATCTCTTCAGTATGGTTAATAATATACCTCCACCATTCTTGTTTTGACTTTGCAATGCACATTTCCTTCGATTTTGTTTCTTTTTCTTTTGTGTTTTTCTTTTAAATCCTTTGAATTGATGAATGATCTTTGCTTTCTTTTTTCACCTCTTTTTTTGTTTTTGTTTTTTTGATGTTGCACGCCAAATGCACTTGCTTATCACTTCCAACTATGCTCTGAATACCGCTTTATGTAAGCCTATCTACACCCCTCAATGATGAAGTTTATAGATAGTCTATTGTTGTCCCGATCTAGGAAATGATAGCAAGTATTGCTCCTGACTTGATAAGTATGGTTGCAATGAATAAGATAAGAAATGGATTAATATATGATGATAAAAGATGGAAATAATAAAAATGAAATGAATTAAGATAAGGATGGAAATAGAGTTGCTATAGAAATGTGTTGCAATAGTGGCCTTCATGGATATTGATGAAGATGGCCTTGATGTAATGGTATGCACAACAATGTAGGATAATGATGATGGCTTTGATATTAGGTGAAAGGTAATGAAATTGTGGATGGAAATGGAAATGAAAGGAGATAGTATCTTAGATAAATAAAGAAGAATTATACTATAAATAGTATAGCCCAGATCTTTGCAAACTTAAGGGGTGGTGTTGAGGACTCAAACCCACTAGTTATGAAACAAGAATTAGAAGTATCAAGGTGAAGAAGTGAAGCCACAAGTATAAAGAATTATACTTGTTTAATCGATATAGTTCTTAAAGAATTTGAAGAGAGATTTCTCACAAAATAAGTTTATATAATCAAAGGTGTGTTTAGAATGAACTAAGCCTCTCTATTTATAGGATTTGATAGAGCTCGCTGAATAATTACATGCCTTTTCGACAGTACATATCTTAATAAAGATGCATGACTATTAGGATAAATGAACAAGTCCTTTGGCCTTCATGTTGGTTCGACTATCTCTTCACAAAGGGACTAAATGATTTAGCTAACACATGCATGGAATTTTCCTTTTCCGAATGGTGAGATGTTAGTTCATATTGGCGCCAAAGACTCCATGTGAATGGCCTGTAGGGGCTGGCTGAATGGTCATGATGTTTGTCTCATACCTCCTCGAGATTTAGGCCTTCTTTTGATGAGAACTCTTCACCAACATCCACCTAGATGTTATGGCTTCTTCATGGACAACATTCATGAAAGGTCACAATGGTTGAAAGATAACTGAAGACACTAGTTTTTTATTTCATTTATTTTATTACTATATTTTTTGTTTTAATATTATTATTATTATATTATTTATTATTATTAATAAATTTAATATTATTACAAACAGGCCATTACAAGATCCCGGAGCCCATATCAGGTCCAACAGTGACCCAACTTGAACCAGGCCCGAGAAGCCCAAATCATTTGGGAGTTTCAGCTAGGGTTGTCTAACCTAACCCAGCCACCGCTCCAAAGTTCCAGTG